ACAAAGTAACATTTAAATACTTGAGGACTAATAAACTAACTAGAAGCCCTCTTAAGATGGTTCATTGGTGAGTATGTCATCGGCAAATTGTGAATTGCTTTGGCAAAATAAATACTGCCTGGATTAACAATCGGATAGCTACACTTACAAAACAGAGAATTTATTATTTCGAAATTGGTATCTTCATTATTATTGACGAATTACAGATAAATGATTGTTAGTATATCATTCAATAGAGACTAAGGCTGACTATTTATAATTTAAATGACGTATTTTTAGTCTTAGTAAAATTACTAGCTTTTCCCGTGCGCCTTCATCCGCATGATGATGATTTAACAAAAGCAAATGTCAAAATGACATGACATGACAAACCTTGACAATCTTACTTCCTTGATGTTGGCAGCATCTTATGGTCTCTTTCCCACATTAGAGTTTTTATGCAAAATATTTACCTCCTAAGTTTAATGGCGTGAAAATATATAGCCTAAAACGTGACGTAAGTGAAGGGCCTTTTATTAAAAAAAAGGATTATTCAAAAACATGCTGTAATTGCTGACATCTTAGGCAACAAAGAAGTGTGTGTTTACGCTTTATTATAATAGTATAGAAGTATAGATAACATTCCTATACGGTATTTCATTGACGCTTAATAAATATTTTGCTCATATTTTAATCGTATTATCGCTTTGTACTTACGTTAATGCAGAATCTTGCATAACTATGCAATAACCATTTATAGTGCATTGGACACGTAATAAATGTATACAGTAGTCGACAAATACGATATAAGATAAATAAACATTTATTTCCATGATTTTATTATAAACCAAACAAGTTTTACGACTTTAATAAAAAAATTAACTATAGTGATGTCCTAATCATTTTACAGAAGATTATTTTTATTGTAAAATTAATTTTAACGATATGTAGTTACAGTATAATTTTTAATGAATATTCTATACAAATCTGTAAGTGATTCTAGATAATGGTAAATGATCTTGAAATCTTTCAAGTCGGCACAGGTCATTAAGTTACTAACGCTACAGCATTACTAATATTTCACTTAAAAATACTAAAACAGAGAGATTAGTTCACGTAAATGTTTATAAGTCAAAAATAATAATTGTACAGCAATTAAAAATTCATATTTCAATCGCTCCTATGTAAACTGTCGTATGTACGAAAAATACATTTTGCAAAACATAATTTTGAATATTAATACGATTAATTATGATGCATTAAATACTATAAACAACTAATTCTACGATTATTTTTCTTAAAAAAGTTATTTTGAAATTAAACAAAAAAATCAATTTAATAAAAAAAAACATCATGTTAAACTCAAAATTGTGGCTTAAAATAGTCTACGTAGTAGCCATCGATTTCTTGGATTGTACATGACAGAAACATGAATAACGCAACACTTGTCTAAAGCTTTTAAGCGTGATAAGATTAATGATTTTAATGTTCGTAATATAAAGGCATCATTTAAAGGAGTCGCGGGAAAGTAGAATAAAGATGTAACCTATAACCATAAAGAAACTATTAAGATTAAGTACGCTAGAATCGTATAACTGTCTCTATTGCTCTTAGGAGTGTCGCTGTACAAAACAAGGACGCACCACAAATCAAGTAACCGTTTAAGGTCGATGAGTAAGACTAACAATAACAGAACAAAGAACCTTTATTACATATTTGAAAACATTCCAATCAAACTACATGTTTATGTATTGAACACAAATTTAACACTCCAATATCATCTAAAGACCATTATTTACAAGTTATATTACCACATTATAATCAAATATGTAGTTTAAGAATTCTTAATCGGTAGTGAGGTAGTAATTTCAATACTATCGGAAGTGCGTCGTTAACTTTCCAACTCGCAAACTAACGTTATCAATTTAATGAACGCTTTGTTGGTAAATAGGTGTATAATGGTCAAGTAATGGTGACCATAAAACGAGAGTGAAAGTCACCAATGAGCTTTCGTATTGCGGATAATGAGGGGTATGCCACATGTTATCACAATTTTGTCGAGAGAAAGTACAAGGTGACTCGAACTTGACCATACTGTTTTTATAAACTTAACACACCAACAATATAAGCATGAGTATGGAGTGGGATATGGTCGCGAAAAAGACTAAGTAAAAGTATTACCGACACTTTATAAGACAAATTTAGAATATTGCAAAATAATCGTTATGAAACTAAAGTGACCTCCAGAGTGATTATCTGAACAATAAGTTCTACACCCACTTACTTTGGTACCGTACAATACATGTGTCTAATTTCGTTAACAAGTTACAATTGAATAAAATGAATAAATACATTTCATCTATTGAAAGTAACAATCAACAGATTTAACTAAAAAGGTGTCATTCAAATCAACTATCGACAGGAATATGATACTGTTTGACCAATACCCATCCCACGTATCTAAAACCAATATTTGTTCCAACGGTCGTCGATATCAAACATAACGGACTCTGTCTTGATAAGGCGGATAATGTATTCGATTTGCAAACAACAAATATTTGAATCCAAACAAGACGTTCCTTGTAAAATAATCTCTTACGTGTTTTTGAACCCTGTATTTGCTGTAAATTACAAACGTAAGGTCCGAGATCAGAGTTACCTTTCATTCATAGATGAACATGTACTAGATTTCTTGATCAGTTTAAATTGGTTCCAGGAATCTTGAAAGAGAACGAAACTTGATCTGTTCTGTATTTAGACATCCGCTATTTTGAAGTTCCACAGACTCGGGTGTTAGCGATTCAAAGAAAATAGGACAGTTTAAAAAAGCAACGCAACCATGCATACTGAAATAAAGTTTGGTGTTCTGTTATTTGTAAAGGTGTTCTATTTTTTAAACTTTGTATTGGTTAGTTTGAAAAAAACAGATACGTACATTATATACTAATTTTAAAATTGTCCAAAAATCCTTCCACAAGTAAGTGGCCTACCATTTCTTCTGTCTTACATGGTATGCTCTTGCAAAATAGTAAACTATAGAAAAAGCCCAACTTTCCCGTGGTAGATAATTTTAAAGTGTCCAATCTCACGGTTATCGTGACTTGAAAATGTGAAGCCCTTGGAAGCCGGGAATGCGATGCAGGTGTACGGTGCATTGAGCAAATAGCCCGTACACAAACAAGGCAATGGAGACGTCACACTATAAATACGTACTGTATAATCAGTCGAGTCAATATTCAAACTCAACAATTGGGAAGTACACGCGGCCACAAAAGTTGTTACGAAATCAGCTTCGCTCTATCACTTTGTAATAATAAAAGTATACTTGCGTAGAAAATTGATTAGCATGAATAAGAATGATTTAGGTACACGTGCAAGTTAAATAATAAAGACAAGAATCAACCCTACGCTGAATATTTAGATAATTTTCAATCAAGTTATCGTTGTCCTTTAGTGGAATAGACTCGCTATTGTTAGAAGTACGAACATACAATAGAGACTGATAAATGTAAGCAAGAAAACTATTAAGTAATCTATTAGAATCCAATAGACTTCAGAATTCATCTCGTACTATAATAAAAAAAGATATCGATTTAAAAAGACCTAATGGAGCTCACTATTTGCAGACTTTTAGATCCCTAAACCCCCTTTGGGTCGCAGGACCATTGTAGTTAGTTATAATACAAATAATCTAATAACCGTATCAAGTATTCTAAAAAGGTCGATATTATACTTCTCATAGCTCTCGTTCTCATTGCATACTGATGTAAATAACAAGCTAACGCTATCATTTATTCTGTGAGAAACTGATAACAAAGAAACCTTTCATCTTAGTCAGCGTTAGAATATTTCATCCAGATCTTTGTTCGCATTTAAAACAATCTTTTTTATGATTGATTTCTCATAATTTGCATAAATTTTGTTGTTTGAATTTAATAATGAGGATTGTATCACGGATATTGCGTAAAATGAGCAAAATCCTGTTCAAACACAGTTTGTAACCGACTTCAAAGGGTTTTAATTTTTACCAAAATAATTTTGCATTCAATCTCTTAATTTGAATAGAATAGTAGTATTATTAGTTATATTATATTATATTAGTAATATATACTATATTACTATTACTATTACTATTACAATGTTATTCTACTACACATCTGTGTAATGTCGTAATATAGATAGATAATCTTCCTTTCTTGCTTATCCTCCAGATAAATGTACACTTGACACATTTGAGTTATTAAGTGTAGTCAAGTGGTTGCATTCGTTATTGTTAGAGAGCATTACTAACAGCATATCATAGACAAGTGTGACATTTGTTGTGTATCGGCGATAATCTATTGTCGATTCGTGACGCTTGTAACGTATCGATTGCTCGATGTTACAACACTTTTAAACTTTATAACTCACGCGCTATAAATATCTTTGACAACACAACTCCATTGCAAGATTGTTTTAGCGTTATTTGATTTTTTTAATTTACACGTGAATCGGTTTAGGAAATCACGCATATATGAATGTGAAATTTTGAGATAGTTAAAGTTTATGTGGAGAAATGCATCTTTAAAATAAAAAAACGGTTATGATTAAAGTTATGTTTAATTATCGAGTAACTTAAATTTGTATTAAAATAAAAACCAATTATTTTAGTAAATCGTAAATTGTTAAATAATTTTAATTGATTAAAGTCGCGTAATTTATAATATGTAATATCGGAATACATATTACCAATCTATTTTTTCTATTACTCTATTCTATTACTATTTTATCTATTACTCACGAAATAGATAAAATAAAATCAAATTGACAGTCATAAATAAATGTGTTTCTTTAAATAACATGTATGTTATTGCAAAAACTTGTCCATAATTTTGTATCTTTAACATCTAATTTAAAGGTCTTTATCACACACAATGACTACATAAATATACAAAAAATAATAAAAAACGAAGTTATCCGCTTTGCGGAGGAAATTACACAACAAAAACAATAATGCCAACGTTTAAATGTCGAGCACTCACCTCGTAAAGAGACGTCATCTCAAACTTCGCGATTGTTTTGTTTTAGACAGACCAATCACAAACTGCACATTTCACTACCCAAATATAATTTATTAGGTTCAAGTTCCTTCTGGTCACAGTCAATCACAGTTCATGATAATGCGATACAAAAAATTTCACGACCTAAAAGGTCATTCGGTCCGTTATTTTTAAATGTAAAAGTTTATTAAAACTAAAACTCGAATACAATTAAATTACTTACGTTTCATTAATAGAAACGAAACGTAATTAAAAAAAAACGTGAATTAAAAAAATAAATGTCAAAGTTTCCGCGAAGAGCGTCGTACGAGTTGTAAAAAAAATAAAAAGGTAAAAGGCGTTCAGTTCAGACAGCCAGGGCTGGCGCGTGTGTCGCGCACCGTGCTCGAGACCGGCACTGAGCCGCGACGCTAACGCTTCAATGGGCGACTCAGCTGGCATACTCAATGAAGCATTCGAGTTCGGAGGTCGCCGAACATCCTGACCCCATCGGTTCCGATATACGTTTCTCTATTACCCTATAAACCTACAATGTCTACTAAATCCAGTTTTGAGATATTCCCATAACATGTTTTATTTTTATACTTGTTTGTTACGTTTTAAAAATATTGAATAAACTTCAACCACTCGAACACTATTATTATTAATGAATTATTTTGTTTTACAGTAAAATGTCTAGATTAAAATATCGGTATGGAAACTGTCATAACAAATTGAATTAATTCATTTACCCTTCTGATCATTAATCACTTTTATAATTTCAACTCTTGATAGACAATATTTTCATTTTAAAAGTTTAGACTGCAACACCATTACATTGATAATAATATTATCTGTAATCAAAATAAGCATTATGATAAAATAACCGCTTCGTAGAATTTGATTAAATAAAAAGCATTCTTCTGGGTATCAGCGGCCAGCATTTTATCTATGGTCTGAAATGTTTTTTTTATTACAAATGGAGTTTGTATGTATCCATTCAACTTATTTGTCATAGAACCGGTCAGGTACATGCACAATACGCGAAGTAATATTGCCTTTCTTGCGGTATCGAATTGAGACAATCGATTTGATGAAATTGCAAAAAAATAAACTTAATTTTTGATCGATTCGATTTCGATTGTTGGACCGCACCCAAAGAGTTACTTTGTATAAATTCCTATTATTCATTCGTGTAGTTTTTAAGAAAAGTTAATAAATAACAGTACTTTGCAAGTATATTGTATAAATACATACCATAAAACAAAAGACAACGACTTTGACAGTTGTATTCTGTTAAAGGTCAGCAACACTGACTGTAGAGTATAATTATCTATGGTTTGGGGAGGTACCGATCGCTGTGGAGGCGTTCCGTTATTGCAAAAGAAGCAGTTATACAGTTGCACATAACGACGTTACACCGAGTTACGCGTCGGTTGGCAACGCTATTGTTTTCAGTTCCCTGCCCGCTGATATGAAGCAGTCAAATGGTTTGCATAGCTTTCGCACGAACTTATATTTGCTTTCTAAAGCTTGAAAGAAACATGTTATTATTCACATTGTTATACTTATAGGTTATTTACTTATACGAGAATTAGTCTTGGCATTAACTAGCATGCAGTTGTGTTTTTGGTTCAGACTATGGAAACCTTGTACTACCTATGTACCTTTATAGTACATCTAGATAGTATACCATAGATGATCTTAATATACAGGGTGATTTTTAACGGGTGGATCAACAGTTTTGTGAAATTAGAGGACAACAATAGCTATATTTTATTTTATTGTAAAAAGAATTAAATAACTTGAAAACTAAAGAAAATCGGGCACTTTATTTGCGCTTAAATGATCGCTATTGAGGTCCATTAACTCCTCAAAGCTCTTGGAATTCTTCCCCCTGACACAACAAATGTCTTTACAATAATTTCCCACGACAATCGATTCATCAACATGTGCGCGATAATAACTGTGGGATAAAGCACAAAGCGGGCCGCTGTTCCAGTCGTGTTTCACAATCGTGCGAAACGCAACTATTATGCCGTACAAAGGAGATTCCTATCTTGACCGATAGACTGTTGGTAACTATTTGTAACTATCTCTGAATAAGGTAATTTAAAAATCATTTATACTAAGCTATTTCTTTAATACTTTTATGTCTCGATGTTTGCTAAAGTCGTTAATACTTTACTTGGTATATTACCGTTAGATTAGGGCGCTGTTGGGCGGCCCAGGGCGCCGGACCGATAGCTTTTCGATGGATTTGTTAATTACTCTTACCTAAAACCAATCGTTCTCTCCAGGAATTGTAAAATGGGGCCCCACCGACTCTCGTACGTAACGGTAGTAGTACTAATACCGGCACTGCATGGAGGTAACGTCGATGGTTAGTGACTTTCAAACATCACTTAACAGTTTAACAATAATATACTTATTCTACTTAGATGGCCTTGTCCAATCCTACAGCTTTACACGGTGTTCCATTTTATTTAAATAGTACAGTATTTTTTTACGAAAAAAAAAAACATCACGTGAACTCATTGTGATACGACACAAAAAATCAATATGGCGCCACTGCGACGATTCTAAAGTCACCCGCTAAGAAAAAACACGGTTTTATCTAAAGATGTTCATTAGTAAAAGTATGCGGCTAACAAGATTAAGAAAAAAAACATTGTTATCGACATCTGAATCTGAGAAAAACTATTCGGAACTGATTTTTGTTTGATCTTTTTGGGCTACGGACACCGAACTTTAGCATAAAAAGTCAAACACGTCTATTTCATGTTAAAAAGAATGTATTAATGATTAAAACAAAAAACGACCACAAATAACCTTGTTTTTTAAATAAAGAAAACAAAAAAAATGATAAAAGTCTGTTGATGCCGTATAATATGAAAGTATAAATTTCACATGATGCATTAAAACACCTGTATTTTGTTTTAAATTTAAAAAACGAACACTTGTTGCAAGACGATACAACAATAATGTTTTTCATTACGCCATGTTTGGATAAAAAGGCCAGTACTTTCTCGAGGATCACATCTTTGGCAGAAAAAAAAGTTGTCTTTCACACGTGCACAGCGCGGGGCTTCGCGGCCGAATTCGCGCTAATCCGGTTCTTGTGACAACTTTCTACAGATTCCCGCTTTTGGGCATCCTTAGATGTGCTAATGGACTTTATTGCTGGTCAATAGCTGATAATGCTCGTCTTCAATTGATTTGAACCGCACGCGAATAGCGATTAAATAAAATCTTTTATTTGTATTAACATACGGTCTTTCTTTTTATATTTGACTAGCTTTCGCCCACGACTCCGTCCGTGTGGAATTAAAAAAAACTGAGTAGCCTATGTGTTCTTCCAGACTATAGTCTACATCTATGCCAAATTTCATAAAGATCCGTTTAGCCGTTTAGGCTACAAACTCTAACAAATATCCATCTGTCCATCTATATAAACTTTCGCATTTATAACATTAAGATATACTAATGAGTGTTTCTTAGAATAAAACAAATCATTTTTAACATATCTCGAATTTCTACTGAGTAGACGTTTAAAGGAAGTTACCATATTTTTTAATTAAAAAAGTGTCTTCTTTATTTATAACTATGCACCGTTGAAAGTTGGAACATAGAGGTCGTAAATTTCAATCAAGTTTTATAGCGATATTTACGAGCAATTACTTCTAGACTGTTATCGCGAGTTCCTACTGAAACGCGCATTGGCAATATAGTTATCTCAGTTTCATGCAGGAAGTATGAAAGAGATGTCAATATGTTATACAACTTGTGCAGTGGAAACAGACTGTAAGGATGCTACGCGTCACCGCTGATGTATGGCCCATGTATCGGCGATGTCGAAATGTGAAAAATTCGTGACTTCTTGTCACGACGTCAGCAACGAGTGGTATCTGGCGACATGATCCCTTCGCTTCGGATGCCAATCACGTCTAAACACATGTTTATTCTTAAAATTAGATTAGTATTTTTCTGTTTTCAATAAAACAAATGAAAGTAGCTCATTAACTTATGATGTTAGGTTAGGTTAGGTTACCGCTGAACCAGATTACTGGAGTTATAATTTTTATGACTTGATAGCAACAAAAATAATAAAGGAGAAATTGAAGTAAAAAAATACTTTTTCTAAAATGTTCTTTATGATAATATACTCATAGCTCAATTCGAAATAGAATGTTATATACTAACTTACGCCCGCGACTCCGTCCGCGTGAAATTAAAAAAAATATATAAAACATAGCCAATGTTACTCACTAACAACATAGCTTTATAATGGTAAAAGAATTTTTGAAATCGGCCCAGTAGTTTTTGAGTTATTTCATTATAATAAAAAAAAAACAAAGTTTTCCTCTTCATAATATTAGTATAAATTAACCCATAAACATTTTTTAGAAATGAAGCAAATAAAAATTGCTCTGCCACTGGCTTAATCGGTGTTATTGAACATTACAAAACATAAAGAGTGTTGTAAAAAATCGATAACATCGAGTTAGAATCGCTATTAGTATCGAATCGAGGCGAGTACATCGAACAAATGACTTAAGATTATACAGGCGAGCACATTTATTGCGAGATAATACTTTACAAACAAATAGAGCAAGTAAAAATGCGGTAGGAATGTAGGTTTCTTTCTATTTAAAGTTAAACTTCTGTAGAAACAAATCGCCTCGTTTGCTCCGACACATTAATTACTCTTATCGGAGCTTTTACGTATAATTGTGTTGTAACATAAATTTAATCGCGTTTTTCAAAGCACTTATTTCTTAACTTAACGGTAGGTAGTCTTGGATTTTATAACACGTTCCTACAGATGTCTCTCTCTTCTCTTACCTTCACGGTTTAATTTTTTATGACTTCAGTCAATCTGTTAACTAAAACACTTTTTATTTTAGGTCCTTAATTATAAATCACTAGCTTTTGTCCCGCGACTCTGTCCGCGTGAAATTGAAAAAAAAATGGAGTAGCCTATGTGTGCTTCCAAACTATCCTCTTCGACTATGCCAAATTTCATCGAAATCCGTCCAGCTGTTTAGGTTACAAACTCTAACAAACATCCATCCATCTAAACTTTCGCATTTATAATATTAGTATGAAGTATGATTTACGACTTCTGAAACGAATCTCAAACACATTGCTTGTCAGATATCAAAATATAATTGGAGTATCAAGTGTGATCATGGCATTCTCATTACCAGACTGATACATATTTTAATATCGGTTCAGTATTAGGCCTTTAAAAAGATTGTACCTATTAAATTCTAAGGGTCTATCCCACCACTGGCTGATAGAGGCTTAGCTTAAAAATGACGTCACTGTCGGATAAGGTAACAAAATCCGACATTTCATCACATATTTTACACGTTGAATTGTTATCAGACAATTTACAATATGGTGGGACAGGCCCTAAGTGTGTATTTTTTTTT